AGAATTTTTCACGATGACCTATTTAAGGATGTTGAACATCTGATGTGGTTCAATGAAAGCAATGCTTTCTATCATGAAATTAATCTTGTCGCAAAAATTTTAAGCCTAGAACCATTGCCTGTAGAGACAAAAACAACATCATTCTAAATGATTGAAAAGAGGTACTTCACAGGTGGAATGAGCACTTTAGTAACTTGTTGAATGACCTGCAGGTCAAAACATTGAGAAAGTACATCACCTCATCAAATCAGTTTGGAACCAAGAAGTTTTACCCAAAGATTAGAAACTGAGCATCATCTGTCCTATATACAAAAAAGGAGACATTTTGGAATGTACAAAATACAGGGAAATTGGTCTCCTTTGTGTTTTTTACAAACTATTTTCCAGTATACTTTTAACTTATACAAAAATTATTGTAGGTGATTACCAATGTGGTTTTCGCAAAGAAAGATCTACAGCAGAATAAATCTTTAACATTAGGCAAATTTTGGAAAAAACTAACAAATATGGCATTGCAACACACCACCTTTTTGTTGATTTCAAGACTGCCTACGATTCAATAAACAGAAAATATTTAATTGAAGCTATGAGGGAATTTGCAATGCCTGAAAAACTTATAAATTTAATCACCATTACTCTGAGACAAAACTTAGGGTTAAAAATCCAGAATAATCTTTCTGAGCCTATTGTTGTTTCAAATGGACTCAGACAGGGGGATGCACTGGCCTGCTTGCTTTTTAACCTTGCCCTCCAAAAAATCATAAAAGACTTCAACATTAATACTCGTGGATACAAATGCTAACCAATGTTTTTTCGGTCTCAAAAAATACTTGAAGTCTAACTTCACTAGCAGAAAAACAAAGAATTTAATTTACAAAAGCTTAATCAGACTCATTCTTACATACTCTGCAGAGACATAGGCAATGACAGAAAAAGCTAAAAGTATCATTTCTGTCTTTGAAAGAAAAATTTTGAGAAGTATTTTTGGTGAAGAATTAACTCTGAACTCTATAAATCTTTTAAAGAAATAGATATAATAAAATATATAATTATTCAGAGAATTAAATGGGCAGAACAGCTGTGCATAATGGATGAAAATCGAGTAACTAAAAAGATCATCTCGGCCAGACCATTCAGCATCCGAAAAAAACGGAGACCTAAACTTAGGTCGCTCGACTGTTTGGAAACAGGCTTAAGAATTTTAAAAATAACCAATTGGATGTCCATGGCCAGAAATAGAAGAGCTTAGAATTCAATTCTGAGGAACGCAAGGGCTCATCCTGGGCTGTCTAGCCATTGAAGAAAAAAGAAGTTTTTTTTTTTTTTAAGTAAGATTTTGGAATATTTACATCAACATAAATATAATTTTTAGTTGCATTCTTAGCAAGCCAATCAGCTGTCTCATTTCCATAATTACCCAAGTGACCACGGACAAATGTAAAAAAGCACTGAAACACACTTCTCCAGATCTCCGAGAGACTGTTGTATATTTACAATAATATCATTACATGAAGAGGTATTTTTAAGGGATCTCCGTGTTATTGGACTGACATTTTCTCTGTAAGAAAGTACTATTCAACATAATTTTCGCTGCAGACGATGCATTTGTGCTGTTGTTGAACCCAGCTGTCAAAATCCTATCTGAAAATTTCAGGTGTGCTCTTGATGGCCTTTCAGTGCATTGTTTGTCTTGAGTGTTAATCTGTCATCCCTTTTTAATCCGTTCTGTGCACATTGCTCTTATCAATGACACTTTCTTTATAAAGAACTTGTGGCCTTTTATGAATGTTCAATAGATTATTTTCTTCTGTTGTCAGCAACTCAATGAGGGCATGTTGTTCGTACTTCATATCCATTATTTATTTGCAATCATGAAAAGGTTACTTACACATTTATATAGAAAAAGGTTCATTTCAACAGTATATGACTTTGTACAGTATGGGTTGATTAATAGTAAACTTAGATTGACTGTTGCATTACTTTGTTACAGCCTTCAGATATAATTCTTTATATATGTGTTCATGTATTATTTGAATATGGAAACTGTTCTTTCAATACCAGTGCATCTTAACCTAACCTAATTTGATGGAACATAGTAGAAACTGTTTGAATCCCCTCCCCCATTTTGCTTTTATGTGTTTAATTCAGGGGGGGGGGAAGGCTGATGTTTCTAAAGAGAATGCCATTTATTATTATAATTTTTTTTTCATAATTCAGGAAATTTTTTTGTTAGATAAGTACAGTTATAAAAATCTGCTTAAATAATTTTCCTTGTTCCTTACATGGTTGCAAAGCTATAATGTTTGCTTTGCATTTTCACAAGTACATCTGATGTTCCCTGATACTGGAATTTTCAGTATACTGAAATGTAGTTGTTATTTCTTGAAATAATTGGAAATTCTATTTTTCGAAATTATCTGGTGAATTTGCAACCAGGGTCTTATATTTTTTGCTGTTTGCATGACTTTGTATAGACAGAGCTCCAAAATTAATTACGAGGGCCATCCAGGAAGTAGATTACGTTTCCGTCTGTGTCCGCTAGGGGCGGGGCTAGCGCGGCCATCTTGGGGTCAGAGCGTTGCGCAGCTCAGTCTGCATCTAGCCGTGCTAGTGAGAGGTTCGTGCTGTGCTCCGTTCAGATACTGTGACGGTTTGAAATGTCTGCGTTAATTGAAAATCCTGCGAGGTGCGCTCAGTAATAAGGTTTCTGACTGCAAAAAACTGTAAAACCGATAGAAATCTATCGGCAGCTTCGTGAAGTGTATGGGGACAACATTATCACTGAAGGTGGAGTGCGTCAGTGGGTCATAAGATTTCAAAATGGCCGAACCAATGTTCACGACGAAGATCGAAGTGGGAGACCCAGCATAGTGACCGCCGAACTTCTCGAAAAAGTCGATGCTAAAGTCCGTGAAAATCGAAATTTCACAATAACGAAACTTTCTTTGAGTTTTCCACAAATTTCGCGAAGTTTGTTGCACGAAATCATCAGCGAAAAGCTTGGTTACCACAAGTTTTGTGCAAGATGGATTCCAAAAATCTTGACAGAGGACCACAAAAATCAGCGAATGGCTGCAGCGTTGAACTTTTTGGATGCTTACCATAAGGATGGTGACTCTTTACTCGATCGCATCGTTACTGGTGACGAAACATGGGTGAAACGTGTGAACTGTGAAACGAAATTGCAATCAATGCAGTGGGGGCACACAAGTTCTCCCCAAAAAACCCAAGAAATGCATGCAAACAATGTCGGCAAGGAAGATGATGGCGACTGTTTTTTGGGACAGAAAAGGTGTAATTTTGGTGGACTTCCTGGAAAGAGGCACTACAATAAACTCTCAAAGGTATTGCCAAACTCTCCAAAAACTCAGAAGAGCAATTCAAAACAAGCGCAGAGGAATGTTGAGCTCTAAGATCTTGTTGATTCACGACAACGCCCGGCCCCACACGGCAAATGTCACTCGTAAAGTTCTTGATCTTTTAAGTGGGAGTTGTTTCCTCATCCGCCGTACAGTCCCGACCTGGCACCGAGCGACTTCCACCTATTCCCAGCAATGAAGAAGTGGCTGGCCATGCAGCGTTTTGATGACGACGCACAGCTGCAAGAAGAGGTAACGAAGTGGTTGAAGGCGCAGGCGGCCGAATTTTTCGACGAAGGAATTTCCAAGCTCGTACATCGCTACGATAAATGCCTTAATTTGTATGGTGACTATGTAGAAAAGTAGTATTTGAGTGTGGCTTTCATCTGTATATAATAAAATTTGTTTCCTATACTTTGTTTATTTTTTTATTCCAAAACGTAATCTACTTTCTGGATAGCCCTCGTATATTGTAACTCTTAATTTAAGATATTATTATTAGTTATATTTGGCCTCAAAGATTCATGAAGTGACTAACAGTTATACGCATTAAAAGTCATCTAACATATCCTAATTTTCAAATTCAGTATTACATGCACTCGTTTTTTTTTTTTTTTTTTTTTTTTTTTTTTCTTTCATTTTTCAGTTATATGAGGCCAACAAGCTATGAGAGCTTTATACCATCAATTGTACTACCTCATTATGTATGATATCATTTAATTAGATCTAGCAGATATCATTACTATAATTCTTGCAGATAAACATCATTCGGTTTGAAGCAATTGATTTCTAATTTGCAAATTTACTTTAAAATGCTGAGAAAATTGTTATCAGCTCGGGAATGGTTATTTCAATTTAAATCTAATTAAGGTCTCTGAATTTTATTCCATCATAGCATGCATTGTAGAGTATGAACTGTCTCATTTTAGATACTTTTGACTGTTATAAAAGGAAGTTGTGAAAACAGTTATCTTTATAATAAATTCAATAGGGAATTTTATTAAGCAAAATCTAACTGATCAAGATAGTAATATTTAAAAAGATTTTAAAATTGAGAACACTGAAATAAATACAATTTAAAAGTGAATTGTAGTTAAAATGTAAGAAACTGCCATAAAAATAGCATACTATCCAGATCAACTTTAAAGGCAGAATATCACTTTTCAGAAGATCTGGAATGAAGTCTGTGAATAAAATAATATAGTAATGTCAATTAAAATATTGTTATATTTTATATCAACCCAAAATAGTTTCTTCTGATTTTGATAATTTGGAATGATTTTTTATGACATGTATTGCAGTGTTCACAAAAGTGTAGCAAGAAAGTGTGTCAATGATCATGATTATTAATTAATGAACTTAAGCATTCAGTTATTAAATTCAGTTCTGTTTTAAATTCCTATTGTTATTGCAGCAGTTGTATTTTATGTGCATTTTTAAAACCTTTAGTGATAGATTCATTTTTTATTAAAGAAATATTGGAGTGTTTCATTTATATATAAATTGCATTCATATTTAACTTTTGCAACATTTTTTTCTTTCCATTATGTATGTATTTAAATTAATGTGATTTTTAAATGCATTTATGTATGAAAAAAGTCAATAATAAGTCACTTTTGAAATTTTATTTTCTTACCTTAGAATATCTAGATGAACAGAGTCATCAGACACCAAGAACTATTATCAGAAAAGTTCTTTCTTCGAATACAGTTTGTAAGAGCAAAAAGCAATGAAAAATTAAGCATCACCTATAATTTTTTGTATGGCATTTCATGATAGATGATGATGAATACAATGCTTTTTTACTTTATTAATTTAGTTAAGATCAAAGGAAGAGTATTTTGTATTTATTGAAAGGAAGACTTCATTGAATACATTTTTAAATAAAAATATTTTAAAATTATCTGATGTAAATGTGATGAGGTATTTGTATGATCTTGAGGCTAAAAGTTTATTTGTCATCTGGGCCGACTTCTGTTTGCAACCGTAAATAATAATTTTTGTATGATAATTGTTGCAAAAATTGTTGAATATTCATGATTTGACCAATGGATGAAGATTCTATATCCTGAGTCTAGTAAAATAAGGGATGAAATGACTGTTACTAAATTTATCATGTACGTGTAAATATTTTCTCATTTTTTGAAGAAAAAAAATTATATTTTATCTTATTAGTGTAATTTTGAAAGTAAAAAAAACATGTTTTATTTATATTAGAAATTTCATAATGAGAATTTCAGCTCTTCATATATCATGAACATATTTTAATTTTTCTAGCATGATATGCCATATTTTAAATTTTCTTATTATTTTTGTGTATTATAAAATTGCAATTTTATTAAATTACAAGAGATCAGAAATTAAAGTGATTTATTTGTAACAATTTTAATGTTACAAACGTTGCTCAGAAGCCAGTGTGGTCAAGTCCAGAAAATGAAAATTGAAAAATGAATATTTTAATACATTAATTTTTAAAAATTTTGATTTATTAATTCGATCAGAAAAGTATATTAAGTCTCCTTTTTCAAAGAGTAGATACTGCAACGAAATAAGATATGTACTGGATGTGGAAATAAAAAAGTAAATTTTGATTGAGATAGTGGCAGGCAACTGAATAAATTTGTATTAAAATAATACAATATTATATGTTGTCAGAAGTTTTACATTTATTCATCATATCAACCATCTTTTTCTTCTGAATTACTTATAAATTTTGATCTCCACATGTTGTTCTTAATGTCCTGAAAAAGTCATATTTTGTTGGAAATATATACTTTAAAAAATTCATCATATCTTTTTTGTTTGTTTGGAAATTGTTCTACCATTAGGCTACAATAATGGTTGTTTTATATTTTTTAAGATTGCTGTCCATCTTCTTTTTTATGTCAGTTATAATTGACAGAGGATGGGGACACCTGGACTAGAGGTAAACAGGTATTTATCCTGTGTTGTCCACTTATCTAAATGCATCAACTCCCAAAAGGCCACCTCGTGAGTTAATTGTAAACTGCTCTGAAATTACAATGGCCTTATAAAGGCTTAGTGCATCTGAGTCATTTAGGAGACCTAGGTTATATTACAAAAACAGGACACAAAATTGTTATTATATGAATATACTACACAGGAATATTATGCCGTGGGAGCGCAATTTCAATTCACATAAGAATACATATAAGTGTTTGATATATGAACTGTACTAGATAGATCATTATGTATATACATGCTTTCTTTAATTACACCATGTAAGAATGTTAAACTAAATAAAATTCAAAATGCGAAAATATGATGTTAAATTATGATGCACTCAAAAGGCTATATTCATGCTACATAAGGCACATGCTATGTAATACACACAATTGTGTATCAATATAAAATACACTAAATAGGCATTAAACTAGGTGAAATGCATGTATAGGGTATTAATTTATGATGTGCGTAAAAGTGTGTGTGCACTCTACACAGTATAAACAATTATAAATTGCATAAATATCTATGTAAAATACAATAAAAATACATTAAACTAAGTGAAGTGTACAGTGCTTTAGTACAGTATTAAATTATCATATGCATAAGAATCCATATGCATACTACACAATGCATATAATATTCAACACATACAGTTACAAAGCACGTAAATACCTGTTTGAGATACATTAAGTTGGATATCAAGCTAAATAAAATATGCAATACTGAGATTCAGTATTCAGTTATAATTTGTAAAAATACTTACATAGATTACACCAAATAGGATGCTGAATAATAACCAAATAAGCTGAATAAAATACACAATGCAGAGATACAATATTAAATTGATGCACATAAAATTCGTATGTGTAGCATACATTGCACACATTACATACTATAAACAATTAATAAGTACATAAATACCTTATTAAGTACATACAGGGGTTGGACAAAAATATGGAAACACCTTTAAAAAAACAAGTTTCTTTGCTTAATATGGTGTAGGAAACCCGTTGGCATCCAAAACAGCTTGCAGTCTTCTCGGAAGGGATAAATACAGTTCCTGTATGTTTGCCAAGGGAATATTATACCATTCTTCCTACAAAACGGTGGCAAGTTCAGATAACGATGTTGGCGGTGGGTAACGAGGATGCACTTTCCGTTCCAATGTTGACCACAAAGGTTCGATAATATTCAGGTCTGGTGACTGTGGTGGCCAGGGCAGATGGGACAACTCATCCTCGTGCTCAGAAAACCAGTCCTGGACAATGTGAGCTGTGTGAACAGGGGCTTTGTCGTCTTGGAAGACACCATCACTATCGGGGAACAAAGTTTGTACCATGGGATGAACTTGATCGGCCAAAATGTTCACATAAGTCTTGGCAGTCATGTGCCCTGACACAGTTATCATGGGGCTAGCAGAGAACCACGATATGGCTGCCCAAACCATAACAGAACCCCCGCCATGTTTCACTCTTGGCAACAAGCAGTCTGTATTATAGGCTTGAGATGGCGTTCTCCAGACGTAAACTCGGCCAGAAGTGGGAAGCAATGTGAAAGAAGACTCGTCAGACCATATTACTCGCTTCCACTGCTCTATAGTCCAGGCTTTATGAATTAAATACCACCTTTTTCTGTTACGGGCATTAGCATCATTGATGGGTGGCTTCTCAATTGCAGCACGGCCAGCAATTCCCTGTTTATGAAGCTCTCTTCTAATTGTTTTGGTACTCACAGGGTTCGGTAACACAACATTCATTTCAGCAGTAACTTTTGCAGCTGTGGTCTTCTTATTTTTTGTCACAATTGCCCTTAATGATCGTCTGTCACGATCACTCAGGACACACTTTCGTCCGCGCTGTGATTTAGCAGATGATGTTTTTCCGCTTTTCGAATATGCGGAATAAATCTTCTATACAGTACCTCTTGAAACACTAAACACCTCAGCTACCTTGCTTACGGAAGCACCTACCATACGTGCTCCAACAATTTGCCCACGTTCGAAGTCTGTTAACTCTGACATAATGCAATGACGACCTCACATAACAGTACTCCGACAACAACTGAACTGTTTAGCACATTTACGAAGTTGTATAGGTGGCGTCAGTAGTCAAAAACGCCAGCGCCACCTACATATTTCATTAAAATCAATCTTTCTTTTCAAACATGCATTTCACAAGGTGTTTCCATATTTTTGTCCATCCACTGTACATACAATACACTAAGTAAGGCATTGAACCAAATAGAAAATACAGTACTGAAAGTGAAAATCTTAAAGGCTTCAGATTTTAAATTACATTCAAAGGCATGTTTTTTTAACATTTTGTTTGTTACCTTTATTTATTAAATACAGTCAAAAGTCTTTAATCTAGACGTCCATAATCCGGAATGATCTATAATCCAGACCTCAAAGCTACAAACTTTCTGCGCATGCGTCAATGCATAATACCTTCACGAATGCGCGTAATAAGTTTATGCATGCGCGTTTAATGTATAACGGACTGTATAAGCTAAGCTAAAATTATCTATTTCAGTTAATGTTGCAGATTGTGTTGTTCATTAATCTTCTAATTGGATCCGGCTTATTATTTTTTTTTTTTTGCAGACTGTTAGAGCAATTTTATAAAAGTAAGTTTGAACTTTCGATTATGTCAAAAAGAATTTCCGATTCTGGAGCTGCCAAAGGATCTACAAAGCGAAAGCATGTTTCAATGTCAATCAAACAAAAAGTGGAATTGCTGCAAAAAACGGATAAAGGCATATCTTTTGTTTCTCTAACCATTCTGAAATCTGTTTATCAATTTCACGCTCCTCTGAGGGGGGACGTCGCGGCGCGCAATGAATTGGAAATTGATCTGTCAGCACTATACATATCTTAAGGGAAGATGTTTTTATTTTATTCGGCGTATAATTCCTTACTAAATGTAGTATTTCATCTCGATGTACTCCGTCTTTGATATGATTTAAATCAAATTCCTCGTCATTATAAATATCACAAATACACATCAAATAGTTTTCTGGTTGCAATTGTCTAATTTCGACTATGCGTAATGTATGCTTTACGCATGCGCACGTTGAAAGAAATGTTTAATAAAATAAACAAATAAATATTGAGATTTTTTTTTATTATCATAATTGCTCTTTATTTCATAAATTACGGTTTCATATTTTTAATTTTATAATTTCTGCATGCCATCTTACCACATTTAAACTGTTGATCTATAATCCGGAATCGCCGAAGTCCCGACGAGTCCGGATTAAAGACTTGACCGTATCATGTTATTTGCACTTGAACCATGAAATTCAATTCAACAGCAGTATCACAATAATAATACCGTAATATCACACTATGGAATAAACATGATTCTTTCATGAAGACCATGTTGTTTAAGTTTTTTTATTTTTATCCATAACACGTCTCATGCATAAACATATTGGACTGAAATATAATGAAAGTATAATCAAGTAACCCGAGAAAAAGAATAAACCTATATAAAGTACTCTAAAATTACATTAAACTAAGTAAATTACACAATGCGTAGATACAATATTCAAATGATGATACATATAAAAATATGAAGTACAAAAATACGTAAATTATACTAAATAAAATAATATGTATGTTATGTAGTACACACAGTTCTTACTATACTTGATTACCTGTTTAAAGTATATAAAATTAAGAAACATACACTGCGTATATAAAATATTAAATTTTATGGTGCACATAAGAATCTATGCATACTACTTTGCATGCAATACATGTTACATATATACAATACATTTACCTATATGAAGTAAGCTAACTTAAGACATTGATTTAAGGTGAATAATCTGTGCATATATAATATTAAGTTATGATGTGCATAAGAATTACATTCCAAACACTACACATGGATGTGATAAATACAATTAATAAAATACTTAATTACCTACATAAAATATACTAAAAAGGACATTTATGTAAGTAATATACACAATGCATTGATACAATGTTAAATTGGGATTCACATTAAAAAAAAAAAACACCTAAATGTATACTACGAAATGCACGCACCAAGTAATACATACGTTATAAAACATAAAGATACCTGTACACATTGTACTAAAAAACCTGGACTCAATATAATACTTGTTGCATTAATACATGCTTATTATGACGCATGCAAAAATCTACATTTGTATTATACTGTGTCCATGCTACATAATACATCCAATTATGGAGCACATAAATGCCTATTTAAAATAGACTTTGAACTAAATACACTTACATATGTCCCCGGGCGCAGCCATCCATTGGCGCCAAATTGATATTACGAAATTTTAGAACGAAACATTTTTCATTTTTGGCACACTGAAAGGGCTGCAAGATTTTCAGTTGTCTCTGGGCACTGAAAACCCTAGCTATGCCTCTGAGGTAGAGGTTGCATTGCCAAATTGAAATATGCAGCTGAAATTACCATAAAAAGCAATACCTCAGTCACACCACAACGCCTTAAAAGGGGGCATGCTGGACTTGAGCGTCAGTTCGCAGACAGCCATTGTTCTGTGTAATGCAAGATAGCTAAAGCACCAAAACATGAGCCGAAAACGTCATTTGCAGGATTAAATGCATAGGAGGGATGTTGAAAGGTGGTACAAGATGATCTGCTATTGCGAGAGAGCTGAATGTGCATCATAGTGTCATCAATAATCTGTGGAATCAATACTAAAGGGATAAAATCCCCTATATAGATGATGTGGGTTTGGATGCTGGAGGATTACAACAATGACAGATGATCGCTTCCTGTTGCTATGTGCCAGATGCCATAGATCACTGACAGCCCAACAGCTGGCATTGCATTTCTATGCTGCGGCAGGATGGCCCATATCCTGCCACACTGTGTCACACAACTGCATGAAGGTGGATTGTACGCCTGATGACCTGTGGTTTGTGTTCCTTTGGCCCGTGCCACCGATCACAAGTCAGAGTGTGGTAGAATTGGGCCTGTAAACTTTGCAGTTGGAAGGCAGAGCCTCGTACTATTTATGGATGAGTCTTGATTTAATATCTAGAATGACTCTTAAAAGCCAATGATATGGCGAGACCCAGGGACACGCTATCAGGACAAGAGACTGTTATGGAGGAGGAGCTTTACTTGTAAGGGCTGGGAGATCAATGAACGGCCAGATTCTTGATCACAGCCGTCCCGTATCACAATGCAATTCTACACCCTCTTGTGCTCTCTTTTATTGCTGCAATGGGTACCGATGCGATATTTATGGACGATAGCACTCGCTGGCATAGAGCTTGATTGGTATGGAGGTACTGTGGCAGTG